TCATCGCAAAGTTTCAGATTAAATTGTACATTTGAGGAGAGCTGTATTTCGCTGAAAACACAAACATCCATTCTTTCGCATTGCGTTTTTTCTTCTGGACGGTCTCCCCGCTCCAAAAAGTGGCCAGATTTTAAATTATAAAGCCATTGCAAGCAAATTATAATCTTTTCGCAGTCCTGAGCAGAGTCGAGAAATTTGTCGTCATAATGGTTAAAAGTTGCCCTACAGTCGGTTGCGATCGCTGTTCTATTTGTTTGAGTAGCTGGGTCTGCATTATCAATGTGAGTAAAATTATTAGCAGGGGCGCTTGGTGCGGTCTCGCCCTAATTCGCACATCTAGCGGGTGAGTCTCATGTTTGAGTGCGTTCCACGGTCAAATGACCCAAACCGCTTTTGACGCACCGAGGTACCGCAGCGAAAAAGCTTGCAGCATAGTCAAAGATCTGGTGACGGTGGCACTGGCCGGTGGATTGCTTTTTTGAAGTTCTTTACTTTAATTTGAAAATGAAAAATATTTTTCAGTTTTAATAGCTTTTGTTGTTCGTTTCTGGGTATGTGCACAGCACTAATGTTAACGTGCTACTCCTTTTACCATTAACAGTGTCCTCCGTGTCCACCCGTGCCACTCGGAGTAATGTGATGCTTTGACTGCCCAAGTTCACCTCGCCAGTGGAAATGTCGAGGGCACTATTCATTCCATAGGTAGCAAATTTAATGGTTTTCCGCTAGTAGTTAACAAGTAGAACTTTGTACTTATTGATTACGAAACACCGCTGTGATAGCGCGGTATTTTTCAGCCCGAAATCATTGTACTGTTGGATTGCAAACTTGTACAAGAAGGAGCCACTTTATTCACAAAGGGTTATAGGTGAGATTTCCTCCCAGTGGATGGTTATTCATTTATAATAGGGGCAGTGTCAGAAGCGCCTCCCATCTCTATGGCAACGGTGTCGTGTAAAGCTCATAAAGGTTCTCTGAATCTCTAACGCTTTTAAAATTGTCGTTACCCTCATTAGAGCTAGTATTATATTTACTATGAGGATTATACTCATTGCTATTACTAATACAACTAATATTTCTATTTTTATTACTTGATATATTATTTTTACTATTACCGTTGTTGCTAACAGTTATCTTATTATTAATGATGCTATTATGGGGACTATTAGTAAAAGATTAAAGCTACTACTACTATCATTATTAATTTTATCTATTTACCGTGATTAGACTCGTATTTAGTAACCTTTAAAATCTCGCTATCATAAAGTATCACTTCGGAAACATTTGCTTGATCTAGAATTTGTATGGCCAAATATACATTATTACTATTAGCTATTCTATCAAAAAGCTTCGTTGACCTTTTAGAATAATTTTTACCCTGAGTGGCTTTGGTAACTTCAAAAAATTTTGCCTTTTGTAGATTTTTACAAGCTTAATGTGTCCAAAAACTATATGCTCATAGATAACCAAAAAAGTATAATATAGATTTATAGTAAATACAAAAAGATCTGTAAACTTTATTTGATAACTTTAAAGCTGCCTGGGGGCACAACAAAAACGCCTATAATAAACAAACAAGAAGAAAAAAAATTGCGTGTATGCCACACCTTTTATAAAATCAATTAGTGATGTGCCCTTCAGCGCACTACCCTTACGTTATATACTACAGCCCCCCCTTTTCAACAATATTGTATATATTGTTGAAATATTACTGGGACTTAAGTTTAAATGGGATACTGTCCCACAAGCTTTAACATTTAAAAACTTTAAAAGCAGTAATCATATTACAATTATAGGGTTTAAAAGTCTTATTCGTGTCTGTAAGTAGTATCTGATGACTTAATAGCTTACTTTCATCCGGCATTTTAAGAAGATTCCTACAAATCGGTGCCAACGTTTTCAACCAGTCATAGAGGCAGGTACTCTTCCTAAACAGAGGCGGTACTACTTGGATGTAAATACTCGGAGCATTCCACCTTAAGCAGCGAAATTAATTTTAGGTTATTAAATTATTCGCTAACATAATTTTTATTTCCCCATTTTCCTTAATTTTCATAGCTCGTCTTAGAATCATTACTTGGAGACTTTTTGATCTGGTCTCGGTGTCGCTTTAATAGCTTTCCATTGTATTTAAAATCCCAAGTTCCTGTATCAGTAAAAACTTTTTCAATCATTGTTGGCCCCTAACCAATTTTCTCAAAAGCTTATTATTTTCAGGATATTTAATGTCTCCCACCTTAAGTTTCTTTGTGCCCTTTAAATCTTACCATACACTTTTTTCACATACTCTTCTACAACTCTTGCTTCCTCTCATAGACTTTCATATTACTTTGACATTTAGTGTAGTCTATATTAAGCTAAGACAGCTCCAATGTAACAACTTCGATTAGTTTTTCAATTGAAGCATTCTCCTTAATAAAATCAGAATAATTTACTTGTGTTTTAAATAGCATTACCATATTCGGCACTTCAAAGCGTTAGTCTATTATATTTAAAACGCCATCCCACTCAACGTACCTTTCATAACAACTTTTTGCCAGTGCCATTCTACAATTTCATTACTTTAATGTCTATTAACGGTAACCACATGATGTCCAATATTAATCGGATTAAAATTTTTTTATTTGAGCTAATAAAAACTGTGCTTATCTGATAAAATTTACATTGGTTATTACATACTACAAATTGTTTTTGATAATTCCAACACCTCATAGGAAGAAACTTTACTTAAATTTTTTATCCATCCATACCTTGAAAACCTATATACGACTGCCAAGGCGCGATCATAGCTTGCCTTGGTTGTGAGCATTTTCATAACCTCCCTTGATAAGCTATAAAAAGGTAATTCGGGGGATTAATTATGAATTTAGGCCCTCGTCTAATTTTTAATAAATTACTAGATCTCTGGCAAACTACACAACCGTTTACTACTCGCTAATTATCGGTTTTAATTCTTTATTAAGTATCCTAAAGATATCACGGTTCACTGCACTCTGCTCCATCCGGTATTATTAAAGCAAAATATCTTCTATCCTCTTGGTTCAACTCACGTTGATAAAAACCTTTAGAGTTACCTGGTGTAGTAAAACATCGGCTATTTCTAGCCTTCGTGTTAATCAATTTTTCATTGGGAATGGGATATTGTTTAACAACACACTGTATGTCCAAACCTTTCAAGACACCGCACATTCGCATATAAGTTTCGGGTTCTAGTTATATCTCCTCTTCTATAGCTCTGAACATTTTCAGGTTTCGTAACTTAAATTTCCACCACGCCAAAAATTGTCCTAACCCTAATCATAATCTGCCCATGTTTTATACTCATAGGCAGTCGACAATTCTAATAGCCCTTCATTTATTAATTTTTCGCATTCCCCTTGTACCACTCTGCTTTTTAACTATTTTTTTTAATAAAAAAAAAGCAGCACATAGGGCTAAAATTATCTTTTAACTTTTAGAAAAACTAATATTAAGTGATTTATTTTCCAAAATTCCATTTAAGTATATAATTAGTTCCTCAACTTTCAATCATTGTCCCCGTCACATCACCTTTTAACTAATTTTTTACATCTTTTACTTAAAAAAAAAATCAGCCATTTTTTTCTTAATATTATCAGATTCCTTTAAGTTCATGTTACAATTTTCTGTTCTTGTTTTTGTTAATAGATTACATTTGAACTACATCTTTTTCAATTTGAGTGAATGTTTATTATATAATTTGTTAGTTCTCATTGGTGTTTAAGTTATTGTTTTACAGTGTAAATAAATTTTGTTTTGCATAAGTTTTTATACTCTTGTATTTCTTAATTATTAGTTTTTTTAATTACTTAAAGAAGAGTGGTTTTAGTTCCACAACAATGAAATGGATAATAATTGCTTATGCTTACTTTGATATATGCGAACACGCGCCCTATAATTTGTAGATCGGTTTTATGCTTAACTAGTGTTATTAATATTTCACATAAAACTCAGAGCAGAATAGATAAATTTAGAAACTTCTGTCCGTCAGACACAATTATAGGTATAGATATCGAAAAGAGAATCACATAGGCTATATAACCAAAAACAAAAAATTAAAAATTTATTAATTTAAAACAGGATAAGAAATGTAAGCTCTGTTATGAATCACTTAAATTAAAATTGTACGCAGGTAGCTTTAATAAGTTTTTAAAAATTATTTTTTGTGAATGAGTAACCACCGGCGAGTTAAGGTCAGTTAGGATTAACAATTAGTAAATATATTAATAGGCTATCCGTTTAGTTTAAATATGATTTATTATACTTTCACCAGTAACTTGGTTTTGACCGATATTTAACAATAACTAATTTAACTAGAGAGCTACACAATAAAATAACAGTTTATTACTATTCACGGTAAGATTCAAACGCTTTGGACAGTAAAGGGAGAAAAAAAAAAAAGGTTTGTGACCTTCATATGACCATTGCATAGATCTCTGGGAGTTACACTAGCCTTGATTCACCACTCACCTACGCCTAAAAACACAAAAAGCACATACCAATTTTTAGGTGTTACGGCAAACAAAAAAATTATTGATCAAAAGGGCATGAAACTATTAAATTATCTTAAATTAGGCATTTTTAAACACACATAATAACACGCGGTTTCTAGATTTAAAATGTTTAAGTCTTATGTCAGTAAAGGGTCGCTTCCTTGGTTTTGGCTCTCAGGGTAGGCGAGTGAACTGCAGTCAAGCCCTTATATCTTGTATTTTTCACTAAAGTTTAGTTTATACCACCTGTGGGTTACACAACGATTAAGGCATACGCTCTAATGATACTATGTACAAATGCTAAATGACAAGCATTTAAGTTAACATGACTAATTTATGTAGATATAACGCAGGTATCGTTAGTAAATCATTGTTTACTACCTATATTGTGAAAACTTTCTATAAAACTATATAGTTCCCCAAAAGTTGAACTTTATTAATATTAATCATAATTTAAGAACTGAAAAAAGAGTTATACAAAGCCAGTAAAGTAGTAGTGTCGCGCAAAATGCGACCGCTATATACAATTTAGGCCTAGAAAGCTCAGTTTCACTGGTGTTCATAACAGTTGCTTCTCTATTTTTTTTGGCAACCAGCCAAGCAACTAACAGCCACAGAGTGGCCGATAGGAGGTACGCCGTAGATATAGCAATTGTAAGAAGAAGTCTAAGTTTGTAAAGATAAGCAAAACTTGAATCCTAAAAATGGCGTGCTAGAACAATTACCGTGAGGGGATCATGTACTCCTTATCACCTATAGTTTCATTTTTGTATAAAGGAAACTTGGAGACAAGTTCGGGCCCGCTTTAGAGAAAAGATATATATGTCAGAAAAAATACATTTATGTATATACGCCCGGTAACCTCGCCCCTATGAGGGTCATAAAAGAAAAGTAAAGCGAAAAGGACATCCCGCTAAATTGCCTGTCGATGATATTATTGTAGAAGACGCTACAAACCCCTGATAAAAATCTTTAAGAAGCACTTATATATTAAACAAAAAAAAAAATTTAAAAAACCTCCCCAAACTTCAGCGAACAAATAAGAGAGCCCCAAACAAATCATGCTAATCGAAAAAGCAACCTTGTAAATGCCAGATCAGCGAAACAGCTAAAAAAAATATAATTACAGCACGTACATCTCTGCTGATACCGGGAATAGTGCTCGTGTATACAAGCCCGCATATAAATGGAATAGAAAAGAGAACACCTAATAAAAAGTAACTGCATAAAGATTAAGGCAGCGATGTAGAATTTATATACCTGCGCTGGAAACGTACAATGCAGCGTTACCGTAGCTAACGCGCAATTTCTAAATAACGAGAAATAAACCACTACAAGGATACAACTCTGCAAGCCGTATATATAAGCACTCTGGTGACAAGGGCGCCTAACGTGACCGATGAGAGACCGCACGTGGTCACCAGGGTTCCAAAAAGCCAGGGGTAGTACGGTCGTTGGTTGTGCCTGTTGAACTCGTAATCCAAGTAACTGTATATGTATGACCCGCAGACGTATCCCCCTGGAAGGGGTGGAAGCCATTATTAGCGGGAGCTTAATTCCAAAATTCAAGCACCTCCGCAGCAGAAAAAATCAACTCACCAAGTTCCCGAAGACCACCTGCAATTGGCATGATCCTGAGAAGAGAGCATAAAGGATAGACGCAGTAGTGAAGGCCAATATAAAAAGACGTACCAGCGGGGGGGAAAACTAAAGAGAAGTACGAACACGCGCCGAAAGTTAGCACCCAGGCCCATTGCTTCTGTACACTGAAAGTGAGGAAGTTCCTTAGCTGACGAAATTATGTAAAAAGGTGGTTAACTAACGGATTACAAAGATAGTCACGCCAGAATACCAGCCAGGAAGAAACTGAGGGGAAACGCAAACACCATTCCGGCGACTCCAAAACCCTTAAAAACGCTTCTCCAGCCGACCTATAAATAAACAGAACATAATAATTGGCTACAGGTGTCAATAAGAGGCTAAAAACCTTTGCTGCAAGGCCTCCTCCAATGGCTGCCGAGAGACCGTACCCTTGTTAAAAGGCAAGTATAAATTATTAGTAAACATTAAAAGGTTTTTAACTAGAAAGTGAACGTTAAAATAATAATCAGTCAGAAAAATATAAATAAGTCACCGCCCCTCCCACAAGAACTAAGAAATTTAAATAACTATGACGATATTAAGAATTCCTAACTGACAAGGAAGCGCACGATATACATAACTCGGTCTTATAAAAAAAATGAATATACAAAAGAACTCCACCAAGGTAAGGCCCGGCACTATAAATGGAGTGCGCCTGGCTTAAAAGATTCCCTGAAAGCCCTATTGAAAATGATTAAAATAGTATTCTTGTTAGCCTTATTTCTATTTAAAAAAATATAGATTTAACCTGAGTGACTAAATAAAGCTAAAGAAGCAGGGTCACAAAAACTTTGGGCGATTCCAAGAAGAATTCGACACGTCTTAATAGAATAAAATAATAGGTTTTTATTAAAAAATTTATATAAATTTTCTGCATAAAATTTTTGAAGTTGTCCAATAACTTTTTAAAGGCATTATAACGTACATAACTTACAAGCAGTAAGTAAAAATTAGAGCAAAAACCTGTACCAAAAGTAATAAGGGACCAAGACACTAAACTAGGAAGAAAAGAAATTAATAGTCACCAAGTGCCAAATAATTAATTTTTTTCTTAGAACAAAATAAGTACTGAACATTTTCTTATTATTAAGTAAACATATAGTACTATTGTTTCTTTAATACCTTAAAATTAGTATTAGAGAGGCTTTATAACGATCGACGGCCACACCAGCGGGAATACCTTGTGCAAAAGTGGGTGCCAAAGATGGGAAGCAAAGACCAGGAGATAAATAATAATACCGACTATCAAAAAGACTATACTAAAACCGTAACCAGCTGCGAATCCAAATTGCTCTTTAGTTACGTTTAACTCTTTCTGAAGCTATTACAAAATATTTTAATTTCAAAACAAAGAGGCGCATAAGTTAATTACTTGAGAGGCTAGGTGGACTAAAAGCCATCTAGATATTTGGTTGCTAACGTTAACTCCCAATATTGAAAAAGAGAAAAGGTAAAAAATATGCTTTCTAAATGAGAAAATCCAGGTCGATCCTCTAGACTCCTTTTCTTCTCTACACTCTTGGGCAGTCGTATTACTCTCTTTAACTTCAACTTTGATATCGCTCGCACTCATAACAACCCTGTGGCTTCATTCGCAAGTTAAAATGGTCAGCATCAACAGTGTCAAGTATTTAAAAAAGTCTTGGCCACAATACAACACGGTTAAAAAAGCGTAAAAATACTTTGGATTATCAAGGCCACCATCTAGCCTTTGAGTTTTTAATTAATCCCGAACATTTTAGACTTTCGCACATGTATAATATTGAGCCCTACCCTTTGCATATTATTTTTTACCCTTATCTAATGTACTTCTGAGGAGGCTTTTAGCTACAACTATTATGCGCTATCAAGTTGCCAGCAGCTCTCAGTAACGCATCAGCCACGCTCTTTATAGTTCTCGGAGTTCCGAACCCGAAAAGTAAACCGCATAAGTAAAGCTCTAAGGATAAATACAATGACAGTTAAAGCTTCTAATATAAAAACTGTTTGCAGCCAAAATGCTGGAAAATTAAAAAGTTGCCTCCTTTAAGTCACAACTTACGTTGCTCGCATTATTTCTATAACGAAAGGTAATTGATTATTAACTGAAATTGGTGATTTAAAAAAATATCAATTTAACATAATAAGGGTTTAAAACAATATACACGTTAAAATGTAACAAAAGATGTATAAGTAATATAATAGCCAGGATTGGAATTGTAATTATACCTGAGTGGTTGAATGATTGTCGCATATATATAATGTGGTGAAAACTGAATCTCCTAGGTAAAACTCACAATTTCTGGGGTAGGTATTTACGGGTACGTCTTTTTTAAACAACTTCATTAAAAAAGTAATTTGAATTTTTTATTTAACAGTTTAAACATATAATATTTGAGCTTAGCCTGAAAAAAGGATAATAATTTAAGTTGGATTCCGAAACAATTTTGGTATACAGTCAAAAGTACTAGGGTACCGCATGGTGCCCGTTAAAAGTAGCTTACTCTGTACTGACTCAACATTTGTGGTGGAGTATTGTCTACATGTGAGCGGTAATAGCTTATTAATGAAGTAGGTTTGGCCATTATTTATATTGCTTTACTTAAGTTGACTTTAATAACTATAAATATGAAAATATGCGACCTGGGACTACAGCAACTAACAAGACCTTGGGTCTAGCGCCTGGGGCCCCTTCTCCAGCTGAAAGTTTTTCAGCAGAATTGGGCAAAATTAGGCTTAACGGTAAGATTCAATATTATTTTGCTATCTATCAAAATTTCGGGACAGCCTTTGGGAGAATACACTGGGGGCAATACCGTCCTAACCTTCTGAAATAGAAGAATAGAGATTATGAGATTTAGGATATTTTACTAGTAGACCCAAGTATGTTGGTGTTAACTATAAGCCGGGTAAAAACAAAAATTAGGCTGGTAACGATATGCATTCCGAAAGCAGCATGTCAGTAATTAAAAATTTAAAGTTGTTCTCATGCTCCTGTTTCTTGCCTACTGTTTTCTTTCTAGTTTACTACATTTTCATACTCTATATTCAATTAATATCCTATGCTATAAACCTTTTTATGTCTTTACGGAGTTTTTGTTTAAACAATTTTTATGTTTCCTTCTACTTATTCTACTTTTTTATACACCCCTTATTTATAATTATTTTAGTTTTTTTCCCACCCTAGTTTTTTTTTAACCTCCTTTATATACCTTTTGCATTATCTACTTATCCAGTTAATTTACTTTTCACTAACAAGCAAGATTTATTTAGCCCTACAAATAAACCTTTTGTTTTCAATAAATAAATTAAAGGAAGGTTCATTTTGCACACAATGTCCAGCAATGGTGCATATCAAGATTTATATAAAAATGTATATAAAAAAGTATATTAAAGCATGTAATCTATTGACCAGTTTCGGTCGGTATTTACACCTTTACAAAAGGTCCAAATATCTTTCCATAGGTGTACAGTAAATTTAATTGAATCAGATGAAATTTTTTACTGTTTAGTTTGTATCCAATTAATAAGGCAGGTCAAATTATATTTTTATTGGTTGCTTCTAGGTTTCTGAGTGAATTAAACACAGATCATTTTACCTGCGAAAATTGAGGGTCAGTTTTGTGTTTTTTTTTTCTTGATTGTGTCTGTGTTTATATTTTTGAGTTTATATATGTGTTTTATGGTTGTGTACTTTGTACTTAATATATTACAGGATATGTGTTTGTAATGTTTATTTTAGTTTTCCTATTTGTGTTTTGTGTTTTCCGTATATTGTGTTTTAAATTGTGTCTTAGGTGATGTGTGTACTTTGCTATTGTGTTAGTGCTCGTGGGAAACCGTTAGGGTATTTAAACCTTTACTGACTGGTATCTAAACCTTTAAGCCCTTTAAAATTAATTTTAAACTAATGTATATATATAGAGAGAGAAGTACAGGTGTGACTAAAACAAAAAATCACTGAAAAAAAATTAACACAACAGCCGGTTTATCTTTCGTGGACCTTCATTATACACTAACAACTAAGCAATGAAAATCTATATAATATACCTAAAAAATTGCCTAAAAAGGGTATTTTGCGTCAAAACTTATGAACTGGATCTTTTCCTCAAAAGAAGCCAAGTAGACGCATATTACCAAATTTAGTTAATTATTTTTATAAACGAACTGCATCTCTCTTGTCTTTTTCTTTTAGATGCATTTGCGTTATAGTTTAATAGACACTACCTCTCTTCATATCAATTTCATTTTTTTAATCGCTACGTTTCACTCGAAAGACTGACGCGAGTGGGGGTCTGGACTTATAACAGGCAGTATATAGAAAGCACTTACCAAATTTAGAAATTTTGTTGTAAGCAAAATTTTGGCTCAAGTATCAAAACTTTTATTTAATTTAATTCTGCATGTCGTGTAATTCTTAAGACTAAACTCTAGCAGCTGCAATATAAATAATAAAAATGGTAGAATTAAAACTTTTTTTTTTTTAAGTTACATCACTCTACATTGGAAGAGCTTAATCCACAAGCGAGTACGCAATTTCTTTTTTAACACACTATAACTGATCAATTTGACTCTTACACGCGATGTTAAGCAATTTTTATATCTACCTTTTTTTTTTGATGTACGTGTATCCTTAAATAATACTATAGCTCATTTTACTAAAATAAATTTAGTTAACCGAAAGGGGTTCTAGCACTTAATAAAATCTAGTTCACGATTTATTTCGGTTTCTAAATCAATGAGCACCGGCTTCTTAACCCCATCCGCGGCAGTGTCTCACAGAGCTCGAACCTGGCCTCCAAATGCTCAAAAGATTTATTATTTCTTTCCTACTAAAATAAAATCGAAGAATTTAAAAAGGCAGCTATTAAAATCAAGTTTTTGTAATGTACAGTCTCCGCGTAGAAATTAAAGCTAAAATTTTAAAAGTCGAGGTCATGAGCAAAATTCACAAGCTTTTAATTTTATTTAAGAAACAATGAACTTGATCAGCAAAATCTGAAGATATATTATTAACCAAATCTAAAACAATGTTACGAAATTACGTCAGTAAAGAAATCTGAAGCGCAAGAGCTACCACGAGGAACACCCTAAGGCCATATTTTGATATCTGAGGCATATCTTCTAAAACCTGCTAACCATTAGGATCTTCTCTAAACAATTGGCTAACGAAATTCATTGAACGAGAAAGAGAAATAAATAATGATTGCTTTTTCACATAAATACCTTCTTTTATTCCATTAAATCATAGAATTAATACTGGATATAGAGTATGACAATAAGGTGACTGTTTATACGGTGATACCTGTACATTGGAACCACGCGCTGCGTAGTAGCTTAAAAAAAACTAGTCGTATATTGCGAAAAACATATTGATCATTCTCAAGATTGCAAAGTAGCTATCTTTGAAAGCAGCTTTAAAAATAATTTTACTTTCATAGGCAGGCTTAAGGATAAAATTTAGTGGTTATATTTAAAACGGCGAACTATATATCAAAAAAGAAGGAAATATTAGGAACAGAAAGGAAGAAATACACAGGGTTTATATACTATAAAAAAACAATACCACCATGATTAGTTCCTCTTTTATCTGCCACCATTAGTTATTCAAATCTCAAAAAAGTTCTAAAGAAACATTTATATGAACATACTATTTACTGTTGTTCTTCAGATGATACTAATTCGTGTATTAAAAGCTTTAAATATTTTTTTTTTTTAAAGAGTAAGATAAAAATAAGAATTTTTTTTATAATATTGTAAATCCCATAATAATAGTGTTATCGGCTTACTAGTATGCCCTAAGACGTTCCCTTTTATGATGGTATAAAGATTCTTAGTAGCTGATAATGAAAATTTAAGCGCCGTTACCACGATTTTTGCAAGAAACAATTAAAAGTTTGGTTTTCCGTGGTTAAATAAGCACATTAACTATATTAGAATATTTGAATTTAATGGAAGAACCTACATGGCCACAAGGGAGGAACTTAGAATAGACAAATTTAGTGACTTTGAAATTGAAAAGCTAATTAAAGATCTTAAAATGGGAGAGGTGTACTACTACTCCATTTACCTTTATGACACGCTATATATTTTAACAGTATGTCCACTCACAAAACCACCTGAACTAAGTTTTCAGGAGTGGAGTTATTTAAATACAATATAATTAAGCAAAATGAGTCATATTACTGATAAGTTGCAAGTTCCTTATCCTACAACTTTTACTATATGAGAAAATAAAAAGGTAGGATCTTAAAGGGTATTCTTTTATTAAAAAAGAATTGGGGCGTCGAATAAAATAGATACTAAAAATAAAATTGTTCTATATGTGTAGTTAATATAATTCACCACTATTATAGGCTGGACATCAATAGAAGTCCCATGCTAGCAACGTCAACTCTCAAGAGCCTTTAGTTTTTCTGCCCACTAAAGAATCCTAACCATTTGAGACCTTGGTAGGAGCCCGGACACTATAGCAGATTTTGAAAAAGTGGTATTTATTAAGATTGCGTAGAGCTTCCGATATAATTGTACATTTATTATTAAAGATTCAATAAGGAGGTAACTGTTCCAGAACTACTTGCAAATGGGTTTTAGCAGAAGTAGACCTAGAAACTCTTGAATGATTGGCGTAGACATAATTATGCTAGTCCAGTATATGCAATCGAACAAAATGGTAAGCCCACGAGGCCTATGTCGACTCCAGAATTTACGGACCTTTATAAAGTACTTTTGATACCCGTTTATTATTTTTCTAATGCAGTTTTATCGAACCATGAGTACAGCAGCTTGCAACTTGTCATTTCGCCCCGAGACTATAAGTAGTATTATGAGAGCGACTGGTGATAGGTCATAAGTAGGTTTCGGAATTAGTGAGTTTTTTTAGCCCACCGAAATAAAGAAAGAAAAAAAATGCAGTAATATAAAACCTGTTTTCTCCGAGATGCTAGCTCACGGGTAGCCGTAGAATGCATACGACCACCACACATCCCTGAAGCACTCGTCGTTGGTTATAAAATTTTGGCCATGTGGACTGTTAGTCAGCTAGGGGCTGTCGATGGAAACGTTACGGTAGTAGCCTCGGAACAAAATTTTTTCTTATCCATACTCCATTAAAGCATAAGGTGTTAGTTTAAGGACAGATTGATATAGCAACTTCACACACATATATATACCGCTGATTTCCTGGCGCGTTTTAAATGATGTTCGTCGAAAGCAAGCTCATACTACGGTGGTCAGTTTAACAAAGGGCATTTTAGGACATGTAAGCTAAAGACGATAACCTGGGGAGTATCTAATATTTTTAGGTTGGGCACGAGTGCCCACCAGTGTAGGCTCTTGCGAGAGTCATAGTAACCATCCTGAAGGAGTGAAAAAGCGGAAAATATCGGACCCGGAACCCGCCATTCTGCCTGGTGTGATGGAAAACCGCTAAAAACTACCACCAGGAGGGGCGACCTTAGGATTAAGACCCGAGACAGCCTAAAGACACCGGCTAGCACTACCGCCCGCCCGTTCACCCGATTACGGACTCTACACCCAGGGGGAGGGCCCTTTAATGTATTATTTTGATTTTTTCTTTTTTTTACTAACTTTTATAGAAGTTTAGAAGTAGTTAAAACTCAAAAGAAGATTTTGGTATAATTTTTCTATATCCACCAATGAGTAACCGGGAACACATCTACAACGCTATCTTCGAAGCGCGCATTACAGATATATATTGACCTTAAAAAGATTTTCTTATATCTACCATTCCTATAGGTGGGAGCTTGTATTGACCCCTCATAAGTATTGATAGGTCAAAAGTTCTTTACTTTTTAATAGAGGGTGCGGAACAGTCTAATAAACCTGTTATGTCAACTAAATGTTTTTCTTACAATTTGGATTCACACCGAATCTTATTAATAGATTTCAGTTGAATTATTTTTTATTTGCCGCAATGAATTTCGTGTCTCTAATTCATTATTTTTGGTGTAAATATATACATAAAATTTTTTCTTTAGCTCTATTTTTTTGCCCGTATTTGCTCGCTGGGCGTTTTACTTTTTGCTCGTTTATCGTCTACCGTCTGGCAACTTAAAGGAGACTCGCAAAAGTTCCGTTAAAATAAAAACCTTGTAGAAAGATTTTAGTTAAAGAACCTACAAAAATCTCAACACGTTTTACTTCCTTTACTGTTATATGCAGCACTATAAAATAATTGCAAGAGCTACGAGATATGAGGTCAAACTACCAAATTACTACAGAATTTACACAAAAATGTACCATAACGTCCATTTTGATAACATATCTGTATATTTTCATTGAGTTTTGCATAGTAAAAAATTATAGTAATTTTTAAAACGAAAAAAAAAAAATCAAAACACATGAAATCATTAAAACTTACAAACAAACAATTTTTTTAATTATTAATATTTAATAAAAAAATTACCAACAAAATTTACTATAATTTCAATCTAATACTTTTTGGTAAAATAGAATTTTATAAAAATAATTAGAGAAACTTAAAAAAATTAATTTAAAAATTTATTAAAAATCTAAAAAAAATTAACGTTAAAATTTATAACTTCAAATAAAGTTGACCTTAATAAAAAAATTAGAGTGTATTTAGTAAACTTAAAAAAAAATTTAAAATTAATTAATCCTTAAATTTTATATAACTTTTTTAAAAGTAACCAAGTTTAGCCGAAATACCTGTTGATAATAAATAAATTTCTTCTGAATTAATTATAAGTTTATAAATGAATTTAAAATTAATTTAGTTACTACAAAAATAATTAAAATTCAGTTGAAAATTTTATTAAATAAAAAAAAATAAAAAATAAAAAAAATTTTTTTAACCGTTATCAACTCTAAACAACTTTTGCTAAAATATAAATTTCTTAATACTACAAAAATTGATTAATTAATAATTATATAAAAAATATAAATATTTCTTGAACTTTTAAGGAAAAAACTTAACGTTTGGCCGAATTAAAAAAAAATTAAAAATTAAAAAACTCAAATTTTAGCTATTATCATAATTTAACAACTTCAAACTTTATTAAAATTTCAAAATTAATTTAATGTAAATCGTCGTCGTCTCCAGTTCCATAATATTTTTCGCCAAAATTTCCAACACCAGGAACCGTAAACTTTAAAAAAAAGCAAGAAAAAATTTATAAATAATTTAAAAATATTAAACAATGAAACGTAAAAAGTGCTACTACTGAATCAATGAAAAATATATATATAAAAAATTAAACAATAAAACTATAAAAAGTACTTCATCCAAACCTAAAAAAAGTGAAAAATGAAATATATATTTTAACAGTGGAAGTTATATAAAAAATATTCCATTCATATTAATAAAAAATAATTATTAAATTAAAATTTAAATAGAATAACTTTAAAAAAAGTACTCGAAGCGATTAAGAAAAATAATAAATTAAAATTAAAATTAAATCATGAACTACAAGAAAAAGTAATTCATTTTAATTAAAATAAATTAAAAATTAAATTAAATATTAAGCGATAAAACTTTAAGGAATGTACTCCAACCAAATCAAAAAAAAATAAAAAAAAATAAAAAAAAATAAAAAAAAATATAAATTAATAAAAAATGTAAACATGTACTCCATTCGATTCTAAAATTTTAAAAATTAAACAAAAAAAAATATAAAAAAGTATTTCATTGAAAAAGAAAAAATAAAAAGTAAATTATAAATTAAAAAAAAATTATTACTATTTTTCATATATTATTATTACTATTATTATTTTTATCTATTATTTATTATTGATTATTAGTTAATTAGTTTTTTTCTTTAGATTTTAATTTAAACGAAGTGAACTTTAAGAAAAGTACTCCAACCGAATCAGAAAAAAAAATATAAAATAAATTAAAAAATTAAACTCAAAAAATAATAAAAATACAGTAAAAATATAAAAAGTTACAATAATAAAAAAGTAAAAATAATAATAATAAACTTTAAAAAGTTAATATAATATATTAAATAATTATAGAAAGTTATAATAATAATAATAATAATAAAGTTAAAGAAAATTATAATAAAATTCAAAAAAGTTATACTAATAAAAGAAAATACAATATTTATAATTTAACAAAAAATATAAAAAACGAACCCCTTCTGCATCTATCCCTTCATCAATACTACAAGTGACTATATAAACCTCGGGATGGCTATCAAGTAGTTTTTTAATTCCCTTATTAAATAACGATTATTATAGTAATAAACTTTTAAAATCTTAATTATAAGTAAAAATTATTATATATAATATAAAAGTTAAATTTTATAAATATTATTAAAAAAATTCCAAAAAATATATAATTTAATATATAAAAAATTAGAAAACTAATTTAGTTATAAACTAGTTGAAAGTTTAAAAATAATTAAAATTTAATAAAAAGGATACAAACTTCAACTTTTTAAAATTTGGAAAAAATTTTTATTTTAAGGAAATACTTTTAATGTTATTCGTAAATACAATATTTAGTTTGATGGTGTAAATAAACTTAATAATAAATAGAGCAAAAATAAATTACAAAAAGAGCAATAAATATTAAAAAAAAAGTTATTTAAATTAAATAAATATAAATAATTCAAAGAAGTTTAAATATTTAATATAAAATAAATAAAAACTTTATAAAAACCATAAGTTTATTAATAAATCAAAATTGTTATAATTATAATAAATAACAAAAAGTATAAAATAGTAAACTTCAGTAGCAACGAAAATGCCGAGCACGAATTCAAAAGTATGCAAATTTACATTAAAAAAAATTAAAAAGCCCATTATTTACAATAAAAATAAATATATAATCAGATTTATAAGAATATAAGAAAATATGTAATAAAAGTTAAATAAAATTCAGAAATATTTAAAATGTAGTAATTATAATGTAAAACTATAATCTTCAAAAGTTAACTCGATTAATAAAACTTTAATCAAATCTATATAATAAAAATAATTCCAAATAAGCAAAAAAATATATATATAAAAAATTAAAATTAAATTTTAATTATAAGAGTTAAAAAAATTTATATCTATAAAATATAAATTTTGTAATATTAATTTTTTTTAAATAAATAATCAAAGTAAAATCTATAGTTTAATAAAAATTGTATTTCAAAAAAAATTTGTAAAATTTATTACAATAAAAGTTTTAAAAAATTTTTAAATATATAAAAACTAATATTAATATTGGTTTGCTATATAGTTTTTTATATCAATTTATTACTAGTAATATATCTGAGTTTGGTTAATATATTTATTAAATAATAAATAAATTTGAAAAATTGTTAAAATTATAAATATTTTTATTTAATATAGAAATTATATGAAATTTATTACCAAAAAAAAGTTGTATAAAATTCTACATATATAAAAAATAAAAATATAATTAAAATTTAACTCAAAATTAAATATTTACTTATTATTAGTAAATATTTATTAAAAGTTTATTAACTGTATTTGTATTTTCAAATAAATTTTTATCATAAACAAATTAAATTCAAACGAACATAAAAATTTTCAAACCCAATTTTTAATAAATTTATATTAAAAATTTACCTCTGGCGTGGCTATAAGATTTAAAAATATAATCTGATTTTCAGGAACACCACTTTCTAGAAGAACTTCTACAGCGCGGCAAACCGAGCCTCCAGTAGCTAAATTTAAAAAATATATATTTTTTATCTTGATTTCTTTATCTTTTATTTTTTAATTTAATTATTTTTAATGAAAAAAATAAATTTATTAAAATTTTCAAAAAGCTAGACTTTGAAAGGTTTTTCAATATATAAGTTAATCCAAGTTTTTTATATATTAATGAATAGATAAAAATATTAATATAAAAAATTTTATAAATCATAAAACAAAGTTTTAATACTAAGTATTTGTTAATAATAATATTATTGGTTATAACAATTCTTTAAAAAGTTTTTAATAATAATAATTATGAAATGAATATAAAAAACGCACCAAGCAAAATAATTATATATAAAAAGAACCAATCATTGGATCCATTAAAAATACATGACGTTGAGCAATATCGCGAGGAAATTTGCAATAATACAACTATTATAATTATAATTATAATTATTACTATTATTACCAATATTATTATTAATATCAATATTACTATTATAATTACTATCAAGTCTTATTAATAATGTTATTAATAATAATTATAGTAATAAACCTGATGTTTCATAGTATTGCTTTGTTTCTTAATTATAATTTTTCCTATAATTTATAAATTATTAAACATAAAAAAATGGTTTAATACGAAAATACTCAAAAATAATTATAGTTATATAAAATGTAAAGCGACAGTGCACGTGAATAGTCAAAGAATTAAGTATTATAAGTTATATAAAAATGTTATTATAATAAAATAAACAATATTACACGTGGATAACCCTCAAGGGTTAGAAATTAAAATATATTGTTATTTCTATAAACAACAGCGCACGTGATTAACCCTCGAGGGTTTAACATCCTTCCAGGAAATTTACTGTTATAAGTTTTATAAATATTATTCAAAATTTTTATAGTATTAAAATTCGGAATGTCTCGTCAAAACTTTATAATTTTGTAAAATTTAAATTTAAAGATTTCTAGGTCAATATAAGAAATTTAAAATTATAAAATAATCAATAAATATTTTAAAAGAATTGGTTTAAAAATAAAAGTTAACAAATAAATTCTTCATATATATTATCCTTTTTAAATAAAGTAAAATAGATAACAACGAGAAAAACATTATTAATAGTTATTTATAACTTATTTTCTATAAATACCTTTATATGACAAACTTTTAATTAAAATATAAATTTAAGTTAACTAAAAATAATATAACAATTTTTATATTTATTATTATATAAATTTATTTTACGTAATATCTAAAAAAAGTTATTAACCTGATTTATATTGTTAAGCCAAACTTTTTAAAAATAAAAAGAATGAAAGAAAAAATAATTACAAACTTCAAGATAATATTTTATTAATTAATTTAATTAAATAATTAATAAGTTTGAAGTTTAGTAAATATTAAAAATTTTTAATAAATAGTATACTAGTAAAGATAGAAACAATTATGTATCCAAGATAAGAAAAAAAAATTTTAAACTTTCCATTATTACTAAAAATTCAAATAAATTTAACAACATATATATTTCAACAATAACAAATAACAATCTATTAAAAAAAACAAATTATTAATAAAAGTTCTTTTAAACTCATTAAAATAAAAAGTAAATTAACCTATTCGAATATTGCGACAACAATCTCTTAACGCTCTCTCCTATTAATTTTAATTCTATTAAGAATAATAATAACGTGAAGACTTATACTAAAATCTGCTTACCATCGATTCTCCCGAACACATAATGCTTACACCACAGATACGGCCCTTAAAACCGACTCCCTCATACAATGCTCCTAAAAAATACAACAAAAAAAGTTATATTTAAAAAAAAAGAATTTATAATTATAATTTTAAATTTAAAAAAAAACCTGTAGGAGTTTCTACTACTTTATCCTCGTAAGGAAGAAGATTGAGGCCTTTCAAAAAATTGTAAAAATGTTTTATATAGTAACCAAATAAAAAGTAACCTTCCTCGACTAAAAGACGAATTAAGCGATCAGAATAAAAAATAAAGTCGCTCCTCGAAGTTTCTTTAGATCTATAATACACGTTGAATTATTTAATAAAAATATAAAAAAAAAGAGGAATGCCTAACAACGTGATATGATAATAAATAAATAAAAGTTTAATAAGCCTTATAATAGTTTGTATTTCTACAATTTGCTTAGTTTGCTTGAGAACTCGTACATGAGAGTTGTACGTTTCCTCATTCATTAGGTTCGCTGGCTAAAATATAAGAGAAAATTAACAAAAATAATAATACTCAAAAAAATTATAATAATAATACTCCCGATACATCGTGAACAGTCATGTCATGTAACTTGTAGTAACTGCAGAAAACTTGCCTTCGGGTGCATTTTAAAAACGAACCATTTAATTGATGCAAAATAACTTAACGGTAGCCAATTGATAGAGACCGTCAACATTTTACTCAATTTTCAAGTTTAACTGTAACGAGCAAACATTACTGTAAAAAAGTAATTTTTTCAAAAAATAACTTAACTGAAACAGAAAATTTTTATTTGCAGTACAAGGTTTAATTTACTTTTTAAGTCTGCTCACCTCTCTACTTTTTTATTTTAAATTTAATTATCATTATACATTTGTATCTACTCTAAATTTTTTTAATATTATTACATATATTAAAAACTAATTTTAACTGAGTACTGGTTAACTATACAAGTTTTTAGATTTAAATTCTAACCAATGTTTTGTTAGAATTTTATACTTATGAAGCTAATCACCAATCAACTGTTTTAATAATCCTTGGAAGCACACAGTAATAGTTTTTTGTGTTTTTAGATATTAACCTTAAACTCTCACTGAGTGGTGAAAGTTCAATAAACCATTTTTACTATTATTTTTATAACGTCTTAACTATAGTCGCTTCAGCAAAATTTTAACAATCCGGAAGCTGCTTTACAGATTTAAAATAATTTTTTAACTAAGTTATAATAATTTATTTTTATAGGCTTATATGGAAACTTCTTGTGAGGCACAGGGTATTTTGATTATAAAAAAAAATTTACGGTTAGAAGATATTACTTATTTTTTAGTGTGCCTTATTAATTTTATTAATTTATTAAATATAATAAAGCCCACTAGGAGTTTAACTGCTTATTTCTTTTGTTGCTGCCGATGCAGTTGAAATTTTATTGATTTCAAACTAACACGAAATAATCTAGTTTTTAAGTGAACAAATTGTAGTTAAAACATAGAAAGAGCCTGAACAAAGTATATATGTTTTGACCAAGATGTTAAAGTATTTATATCATCAAGTGGTTTTTTGCTTAAACTTAAACATCTTCAACCTTAAGTGATTTCGGTCTTTTTGGAAAACTATACATCAATCTACCATTGGGCATTTGTGATAACCTTTGGTTTTAAAAAAATGTTTAGGGGTTTCCGATTGTTACTTAAAGGAATTGCACTATTTGGATAAAGCTTATTTGGTGAGTTAGTTAGAGATGTATAATAGATAGTAAAGAGACCTGTTGGATAAGCACTATTCTAAAATAAAAGATTCTAGTAAAGCACTAATCTTTAGTTTTAATTTAAGTGTAGTTACGGTTTAACACAAGATAGTTATGAGTCATGTAACCCTCGATTCGCCAATATTTAAGGTAGGCTTCGCTTCGAAGATGAGAGAAATAAAGCACTAATACTTTAGCAAAAAACCTAGCGGGTTACCTTCATGGTAGTCAAGACTAAAGGCAAGAGGGCCAAAGCAAAGGCATTGATAGCCAAAAAATCTACACCTATAAATGATGCTCGCAGTAAAGTTTAGTTTCACCCATGAGTATTAACGTTAACCTTAAATGCCTTACGTCTTATAATAACTTATTCAACTTTACTTATGGTCAATTAGCTCCAAAGGTTCCACCTTCTCACTTCTAAGAATAAAATAAATACAGTAGGTGATTTCAGTTAGTATATCTACAACGCCGAGAAAAAAAGAAACCAACTCAGACAAACCGTAATCTTGGATGATTGTGGACAAGCGACTTTGTGAGCCTGAAATGATGAAACCTGTATAACTGAAAGATGTTCTAGAACCTACCACAATTCTATAAACAAATAAACAAGTAAATTAAAAATGAAACTTCCAAAGCGTGGCAAACTGGTTTGAAAATTTTGCAGTTCAATACTTGGAAACTTTATTTTTCTCAAAGTGGATCTTTTCAAAGCACACTTCGTTTAGCAAAATGGTGATAAGAAAATAATATAAAAAGTAGTGGGAGATAATGCTTATTATTTCTCTTTTACTTAAATAATTTGTTACAGCTAGCCATTTCAGTAAAAAGTCGGTGTATATAATAAGAAGCTTAAATATTGTTAACCTATTAATATATATATTTTTCTCACTTTTAGTATTTTTTTCCCCTAAAGGTACCCTGCTGTAGTGTTTTTTCTCTATTGTTTGTTTAGAGCAAAGTTTTTTCAAAAATATTTTTAGTGAGATTTGTTATTAAACTACTTTAAAATAAAAAGACATTCTAATAAGAGATAAAATAGTGGAATTACGTAATTTAAATATATAACAGTCGTCAAGAGATCCTCTTCCGCGTAATCGCCTTTTATTTATTAAAACTTTCCTTCGATTTTTAAGGGGTTCTATCAAGACTTCTAAAGATGTTTTATTGCTTGTTATAAGAAAAGTAAAAATTTATTAAAAACTTTTTTTAAGTGAGTGTTTTTTGTATATATCTATCAAAAATAATTTTTTTTTCAATCACTTATAATTTCTATTTTCATTTTCATCCCAAAGTTAAACTTTTTAATTATACAAGCTAAACTTTTGAACCACTCTTTCGTTTTTATCTTTGCGCTCTTCCCATTAATTTATTTTTTATATTTTTTTCAAAGTTGAAGTTAATTTTTAACAGACTCAGTATCGTTATAATTTTCTTATGATACTTTTTTAGCTAAAGAATTATAAAAATTTAATCATAAAATTGAATTAATTCATTAAATTAGATAAACGAACTTTTTTCCCTACTAGTTAATATTTTATTTTAATTGCAAGTTTTTTTTTCCCCATTAATATATAATTTTATACTTTTACTGACTTTAGCTAATTTTTATCCTTTACTGACTTTATATAATTTTATTAAAAATCGAAGCTTATTATAATACCATAAATTCATTATTTTCTTATATGCGCAAAAGATAAATTTGTCAATTTTTGATGCCCAATTTTATTTTTAATATTTTCTTATGCGCGTTTTAAATTAAGAAACTATTAGTAAAGTCCAGTCATTTCTAACCCTTTTAAAATATTTTAAAACATTGATTCGAAATCGATTAAAATTTTTAATAATATAGATGAGATTGTATATTTTATTAAATCTACCACCTTTATTTACACAAGTCAAGTGAGGATCTGCATTATAAATGCGCTTTGTGAAAAATAAGTTTTATTGGACTACTAACGGAGAGCGCCAAAAGAAATCTATTGATAAAAAAATATATAAAATTAGTAAAAAAAATTTACAATAAATTAAAAATAAATTTTATTTTATCCATTAATAATAATAATTTCCTGTAACATATGTAGCCAAAAGGGAGTTTTATTTGTATCGAAAAGTTTTTTGATAGGTCCTCATTATCGCCAACGAGCCAATAGATTTTATGAGTAGAGTAAAAAAATTTTGTATCAGTCAATAGGTTCCATGCAAGCTGTAAACTATTGACTTTGCAATGTTCTTGAATAATTTATTAATTACAATATATTTCAAAATATAAAAAGTAAAAAAGTGGAAAATTATATTTTTATAATTATTTCTAATTATTATTATAAAAATATTAAAATCTATAATAATAATAATAATTTCTTTCAAGTAATTATTAAATTCAATAAATTTAGATAAACTCTTTTCTTTTAAAAAGTTTTATACAATAATTTTTTTAGTTTAGTAATTTTTTTTACTTGCTATTAGTTTATTAGTCCGTGTTACTTATACAGTTATAGAAGATTTTTTTACTTATTGTTATCAATAACGTAATTGCTATTAGTTTATATTTTTACTAAAAAAATAATACTGTAGTTTTTACTATATATTTTCTTAATTAGTTTATATATATATATTAAAAGTTTATTTACTTTTTATTAATATTTATTGTTTATTTTTATATAATAAAAAAGTATTTTCACTTATAATTAGTACCATTATTAATTTTTATTTATAGTTATTATATTTTTATAATAGAAAATATATATACTAAGGCAAATAAAGAAACCTTGATAATACTTTAGAGGAACTGGAAAAGCAATAAATACAAAACGAAAGTTTGTTAAGTACACAACGCCTTTTCTTCGATACTTCACTCCTCTCGTCATTAATAATATTGTAACTTTTGGGATAACACGTGTCACCTTTTCTCTCAAAAAAAGTCGAAGCCCTCCACCGCGTGTGAGCTGAAGAGAAGAGTAACACGTGTATATAAAAAATTATTAATAGTTGAACACATTAATAATAAGTACATCTACTGAATTCATTCCGAATAATTGGCACAGTCTATGTTTACTTTGGCAGGTTTTAGTATGGAGGACAGGGCTTCCTATATTGCCTTCAAAGTCACGAGGGCAGCAGCAGTCTCGTAGGCATTGAAATTCTGAATCTAAAAAGTTTTTATTATTCGATGCAACGAAAGCAGAACTCTTTTTTGTAAACTTTTATACAAAAAATTTGTACAGAAAGCAGTCAACTTATTATTGGCTTAAAAGTTGAGCGCTATTCATTTTCCGCCAAAATAGGAAAAAATGATTGGCTCTTTTTAACTACGAAAAGAGTTTGAAGGACAGCAAGAATTATAATAGTAATAATAATAATAATAAAATATAAAGTTTAGTAAATATTTATGTAAAGAACAATTGTAAATCAACTTTAATAAAAAAGTAAATAAATATCATATATAAAAGTTTTCTAAAAATATATGAAAATGAGTAATAATAAAATATAAACTTTAAAAAAAAAAAAGAAATAGAAAATATAATAAAATTTATCAATATTTATAAAGAAAACTAAATAAATACCAACAGTAAATGTTTTATATAAACATATAAAAATAAATATTATATAAACGTTAATAACAAAAATAAAAAAATATAACTGAAAAAAAAGTTTAAAATATTTTTTTTAAAAAAATGCAATGGCACTTTTATAATATATATGACAAAATGAAAAGTTTTTATTATATAATATTATATTTAAATAAAATATTTTTAATATCTTTATGTAAATTTTTGTAATAACAATAATAATAAATTAATAATCATAATAATAATAATAATAATAATAATAATAAT